GCTCATGGACTGGTAGAATCAACATAGTAAAAAGGTCGATTCTCCCAAAAGTAATCTACATGTTTAATGCAATTCCCATCAAAATTCCAATGACACGGATGTGAGGGTGATCTGGCTGCGATATCTGTCACCCCATTGATCGCCAGGGTTGATTCGGCTGATCTGGCTGGCTAGGCAGGTGTCCCCTTCCTCCCTCACCGCTCCATGTGCGTCCCTCCCGAAGCTGCGCGCTCGGTCGAAGAGGACAACCATCCCCGATAGAGGAGGACCATTCTTCGGTCAAGGGTATACGAGTAGCTGCGCTCCCCTGCTAGAACCTCCAAACAAGCTCTCAAAATTCCAATGACATTCATTAAATAGATTGAAAAATCTACCGTTAAATTTATATGGAAACACAAGAGGCCACAAATAGCCAAGGCAATACGCAGTCAAAAGAACAACGCTGGAGGTATCACGATACCTGACTTCAAACTATATTACAAAGCAATAAGAGTAAAAACAGCATTGTACTGGCACAAAAATAGACAGGAAGACCAGTGGAACAGAATAGAGGACCCAGATATAAAGCCACACAACTATAATCAACTTGTCTTTGACAAAGGAGCTAAAAATATACGATGGAGAAAAAGCAGCCTCTTCAACAAAAACTGCTGGGAAAACTGGTTAGCAGTCTGCAAAAAACTGAAACTAGATCCATGTATATCACCCTATACCAACATTAACTCAAAATGGATCAAGGATCTTAATAGCAGACCACAAACTCTAAAGTTGATACAGGAAAGAGTAGGAAATACTCTGGAATTAGTAGGTATAGGTAACAACTTTCTCAATGGAACCCCAGCAGCACAGGCAACTAAGAGATAGCATAGATAAAATGGGACTTTAAAACTAAAAAGCTTCTGCTCACCAAAACAAATGGTCTCTAAACTGAAGAGAACACCCACAGAGTGGGAGAAAATATTTGCCAGCTACACATCAGACAAAGGACTGATAACCAGAATATATAGGGAACTTAAAAAACTAAATTCTCCCAAAACTAATGAACCAATAAAGAAATGGGCAAGTGAAATAAACAGAACTTTCTCCAAAGAAGAAATTCAAATGGCCAAAAAACACATGAAAAAATGCTCACCATCTCTAGCAATAAAAGAAATGCAAATTAAAACCACACTAAGATTCCACCTCACCCCTGTTTGAATAGCCATCATTAGCAACACCACCAACAGGTGTTGGCGAAGATCCGTGGAAAAAGGAACCCTCTTACACTGTTGGTGGGAATGTAAACTAGTACAACCACTCTGGAAAAAAATTTGGAGGCTAATTAAACATTGATCTAAACATTGATCTACCATTTGATCCAGCAATACCACTCTTGGTGATATACCCAAAAGACTGTGACACAGGTTACTCCAGAGGCACCTGCACACCCATGTTTATTGCAGAACTATTCACAATAGCCAAGTTATGGATACAGCCAAGATGCCCCACTACTGACGAATGGATTAAGAAAATGTGGGATCTATACACAGTGGAATTTTATGTAGCCATGAAGAACAAAATGTTATCATTCGCTGGTAAATGGATGGAATTGGAGAACATCATTCTGAGTGAGGTTAGCCTGGCCCAAAAGACCAAAAAGCGTATGTTCTCCCTCATATGTGGACATTAGATCAAGGGCAAACACAACAAGGGGATTGGACTTTGAGCACATGATAAAAGTAAAAGCACACAAGGGAGGGGTGAGGATAGGTAAGACACCTAAAAAATTACCTAGCATTTGTTGCCCTCAATGCAGAGAAACTAAAGCAGATACCTTAAAAGTTACAACTGAGGCCAATAGGAGAAGGGGACCAGGAACTAGAGAAAAGATTAGATCAAAAGAATTAACCTTAAGGTAACACACATGCACAGGAAATCAAGTAGAGTCAACTCCCTGTATGGCTATCCTTATCTCAACCAGCAAAAACCCTTGTTCCTTCCTATTATTGCTTATACTCTCTCTTCAACAAAATTAGAAATGAGGGCAAAATAGTTTCTGCTGGGTATTGAGAGGGGGGAGGAGGGGGCGGAGTGCTTCATACGGGAGGGGGTGGGGGCAAGGGGGAGAAATGACCCAAGCATTGTATGCACATATGAATAATAAAAAAATAAAAATTAAAAAAAAGAAAAGAAAGAGTAATATAGATGGGGTAAATTCGATCAAAGTATGTTATATACATGTTATAAATATCATAATGAAACTCACTTGTACAATAAATTTATACTAATAAAAAATTTTCTTAAAAAAACGCAGAACAAAGACAAGAAGTGATACTAGAAAAAAATTATCAATCATAAAGGATTAATAACTACCTAAGAGGGTTCTGGAGAAAGAAAAAGCACATCACAAAAATTCATCAATGAAGAGAAGCAGCTTTCCCTAAGCTGAAAAAGACTCAAACCTTAATATAGCAGGACCAATTTCCAAGCCAGCAAGAACTTAAAACCAACAAGGAGACACATTTTTGTGACAGTTTTAAACTTTAAAAGCCATGAAGAAAACCTTAAAAGCTTTGAAGGAAAAAATACATGTTGTTACAAAGGACTATGAATCAAATGAGCATCAGATATTTCATCAGCATGCCAGAAAAAAATGTGATATTGTTTTCAAAGTTCAGAGAGAAAATCATCTTGGACCTGGAATTCTACATCTAGTTAAGCTATCAAATATGAAGGCAAAATAAAGACGTCTTTGGAAATTAAGGAACTAAGAAATTTGACTTCCTAGGGCTAAGCATGGTGGCTCATTCCTATACTCCCAGCTACTAGGGAGGCAGAAATCTAGAAGATCAAGGCTCCAAGCCAGTCCAGGCAAAAATTTATCTTAATAAATAAGCTGGCCATCGTGGTTCACACCCGTAATCCAAGCTATCTAGGAGGCGCAGGTAGTCCCAGGCTCACCCAGGCAAAAAGTGAGACCCTATCTAAAAAATAATCTAAAGCAAAATAAGGATGGTGGTGTGGCTCAAGTGGTACAGGCCCTGAGTTCAAACTCCAGTACTGCCAAAAACAAAGAAAGAAATTTGACTTCCTACTTCTTTGTAACAAATTATTACACGAGTTCAGATGGGCTTAAAGTTATGGTGCTGGCAGAATTACACACCTTTTGGAGGTTGTAAGAACCCATTTCCCTGCCTTTTCTAGTTCTTAGGGGTGCTAACTAGTGGCCCCTCCATCTTTAAGGCCAGCAATGTGAGTTAAATCCTCTCATGAGATCTCTCTGACTCTCTTCCTCCTCTTTTTCACTTGCAAGGACCCTATAATTACACTGAGCCTACCCAGAGAATCGAGGATAATCTTCCTATCTCAAGGTCTTAAATTTAATTATGGAACAACCCTCTTTTGCCATGAAAGATAATATATTCACAAACTCCAGGAAATAGAATATAGACATCTTTGGTTGGCAATTATTCTGCCAAACCATAGAAGGACTTAAAAATGTCTTTCACAAAAACAAAAATAAATTCAAGAAAGAAGATGAGATATAAGAGAGTAGGTCCCCCATAAAAGGAAGAGCATTGTAAAGAAATTTTAAAAGAAAAAATCTGAACTTGACAGAATTTTCTCACTGTAGAAGAGCAAATTTTAAAAAAATGATTACATTTTCTTCTCTAGAAGTCCAGTTATGCTACTTGGTTCTGTGGTGAAACCAAAATATTATAAATGTTTTCCATGTTCAGAAATAACAAAGGAGCAAATGTCAAAAGACGTAAATATCTCCATGCCAAGGTCTCAAATCGAACAGATTCTGGACTCCCTGCATTATTTTTCTACATGTGCAACCTACTGGGAACTAAAATTGCATAATAATGGTACAAAATATATCAGAAACACAGCCACAGCTAAACGCATTAAATGATTTTTATATGCATCTGATAAATTAAGTTTGAAAGAAATTAAGATCGATTCTGAAATATGTATGTATGTTCTTATTAACTGATAATTTATGGAGTTACTTAATAGGCACGTTGTTCATTTCTATTTTTATTTTAAATATCTAAAAAGATAATACCTAACATTGATGAAAATATTTTTTAAATGGGGTATTCCCATAAACTATAGCTAAAATAAAAAATAAACTTTTAGGGGTATGACAATTTAAAAAATGCTCATTTCTGAACTGGTAGTTCTACTTCTAGGAATCTATCCTACAAAAATATCAATGCATAGTGTGTAAGAATATAATATAAAAATTCCACTGTTGTATCATTAGAATAAGAGAGAAAAAAAGGAACCAACCTGAATATTTCATCAAAAGGGAATTGGTTAAATATGTTCTGGTCAAACATTAAAGCAGCAGCCACTAAGAATAAGGTATAGCACAGAAAATGTATGCACATATTCTACACGCATGTATTTAAATTTTTTATGTAAAGAGGAAGAGCTAAAAAGACATATATAAAACTATTAAACACAGTTAATTCTTTGAGAGGGTGTGAATTTTCAGTCTTATGGTGCACACAGATGCTATTCAAATTTAGTTCCAATGGACTAACATCACTTATATAATATCTTTTACCTTTAAAATAAATGAATAACTGGGCTGGAGGTGCAGTTCAAGTGGTAAAGCACCTGCCTGGCAAATGCAAGACCCTGAGTTCAAATCCCACCACCAGAAAGAAATTTTTTAAAAAGTGAATTACCAACACTAAAAATTGAACCCAGAATAATACTTCTATAGATCAAAATAGTGAAAACTGGTTTACCATATGGCTTCCATCCAAGAACATGAAAGCCTTTTGTGGGACACATGCATACAATATCAGCTGACACTTAAATGCATCATCATTACTAAATGAAAGCACTACCAATGACAGCATTTTTGGTTCCTTAAAGGTATGCAACTGACTGCAAATACACTAAAGAGCTTCTGACAGAGGAACTGAAAAACAACAGTATAGTCTTTATCATTGCCTTAAAAACATTTTAATAAATTGATATTTGTATTAATCAATACTTACTGAATCGTTCACTGCTAGTGCAAGTGCAAGGTTCACTGAAAGAAACAAAAATTAAATTTAGTAACCGTCCTTGTATGAAAATTAATTGTGCCTTTTATATTTTCAGTACAATAACCAAAACACAGAAATTTTTAATGTGTCTCCCTTACTTGTAAGGAACAAGAAATAGAGAAAGCAGAAAATAACAAGACAAAAAAGAAAATAATTTTGCAACTACCAATAGATGCCTACCCCAAAACTAACATTTTAAATAGCCCATTTATAACCTCTTAGAATTTTCTTAAAGTACTCCACTTAGTTTTTTTAAAGAAAAAAATATATTAACAAAAATATGGTTCCATTTTCAAAAGCATTATTTGTAGAAAAATTACCAATCATTTGATATGTAAAAATGGATATAATAGTACTACCTTTTAAAAGTAAATGCTGGCCTTGTATGAGTACCAATTATCTAACTCATAAATACACATGTATACAAAAAGTTGCCACTGTACACAGAGGGAAGGAAAGAAGGTAAAAGGTAAGGGGGTAAAATGTGTTTCCCAAAACTGCTTATGCCAGGGAATCTCAGAAACAAAGGAGGAGAGTAGCAATCCCAAAGGCATCCTTAGCCAAGCAATGGGGACATGCTACATTTGAGAAGAGAGTCCTAAAGTAATATATATTCCAAGCCTGAATGGATCCTCATACTATGAATCACATTTCCTTACAAAACAAGGCTATAAATTATATCAGGTTGTTTCCTTTAAAGTAGTTCAGAACATAAATTTTAAGGCTGACCTAGTTCAAATTCCAGCTCCACTACCTGAAGTAGGTTATTTTACCTATCAATAATCTGTTTCCTCCGCTAAAAGTTATTTTTGCTTCATAACTGTTGCAAGGATTAAATGAAATACTATATGTAAAGTACTTAGCCTTAGGCATGGAATTTGATAAATTCATTCTTATAAATTAAAAAGTAATTCTGAATTTATATGATAGGTAAACATAATCAAACCTGAATCTAATCTACACAGAAACTTCTAGAGAATAGTTCCTTAAAGTTGGGTTCATTGTGACATTAATCAAATGTCACCATTCTAATCCAAACATCTCTGGCATACATATTCAAATAGTAAGCATTTTGAAATAGTTTGGGACAGGAACACATACAAGGCAAAGACATATAATGCCAACAGGTACATAGAAATAAACTATTTCTAAGACTGGGGTATGTTGACAGAGCTGTTATAAAAAATTATAGACTAGCAGTTTAGAACACATGATATAATGTTAACAGAGAAACAGTGAGGAAGGAACATTTACTAAAGCACCTTCCATGTGTCATGCCCTGTACATTTTCTTATACATTTTCCTATTTAACTGCTTTCATATTCCATGGCAACAGATCATCTTCCAACTAAAAACAATGAACAATCTGTTTTAAAGAAGGGCTAGCCTCTAGATCTGACAAAGTACATTGTACAAAACCTACAGGATTTATGGCTATGATCATGAAAATACTTCCAATCTTTATCCAGTCCACATAATCACAAAGCATGCAAAAAGATTCACACCACTGAAAATGGGTAGATGTACCTCAAATTCTCAAAAAAATAGGAAGAAGCATATCTAGAACCAAATACTAAGAGCTTCTAAACTTAGAAACAAAACATCAAACAGACTAATTGCAGGCCCTTAGTTAGCAGCAGATGAAAGTGTATAGGATACAGCATGAATTCATTTAGAACAAATCACTAACCATCTTTAATAATAAGACAATGTCTGTCAAATAGTAATCAATACGGAATATATCACAAATACAATAGTTGACAAATCCTAATTTCTTTAAAACATCTGACAAACTTATCCACAGTTCCCCTCAGGTCATAAAGGGGTAAAATGGAATATAGTAGAATTTGAGGTTGGTAGCACAACTACAAAAACTGTTATACCGGTAGGGTCTCTAACAACAGCCACAGAATTCTGCATCTGGTCTTTCTTATTTCAAAATGTCACTGACTTCAATGGAACTGAAAATTTTTAATGTAAATATATGCTTTACAACTTTAAGCTAATAGTTTGAAAATAAGTCAAAGTTTCAAACATCTTGTTAGTCTAGAACTACTCCAAAATTAACAAAATAAAACATAATAAAAAGAAAATAATTTTTTAAAACATCAACTACAAAAGGATTGCGATATAAGACCTGAATTAGAAGCCATTCTTATTGAAAATTCAGTATGAGGTAATGCTTTATGATTCCAAGTTAATTATACAAGTTCAAGGGTATAATACAAGTCAAAGTACAAACTTGGAGTTATGAGTAAGTTCTGCAGACTTAATGTATAGCAGTGACTATAATTAACAATAATATATTGTATATTTGAAATTCGCTAAGAAAGTAATCTTAAATATTCTCACCACACACATAAAAAGGTAACTGTGTGAGGTAATGGACATGTTAATTAGCTTGATCGTGGAAATCATTTTACAATGTGTACATTTATCAAAATATCAAATTTTACACCTTGAATAGACTTAATATTTGTCAATATAGCCCAATAAAGCTGAAACACAGTTCAAGTTATCTTTAAGGAATAGGACTGGAAGAAGTTTCCTTCTTCTATTATTTCAATAGAATAATCTTTTGAGAAATGAAAGATCTCTTTTGAAAAATTGTGAAAATAATCCTAGTCTTGACTATTAATATTTTTTTTTTTTGTGGTACTGGGGCTTGAACACAGGGCCTACCCCTTGAGCCACTCCACCAGCCCTTTTCTTGTGTGTGATAAGTTTTTTTTCAAGATAGAGTCTCCTGACCTATTTTCTCAAGCTGGCTTTGAACTATGATCCTCTTGATCTCTGCCTCCTGAGAAGCTAGGATTACAGGCGTGAGCCAATGAAGCCTGGCAATTCTTCCACTTCTGATGGCACTTCTTTCATGGGTTCTAAAAGTAGCATTTTAGTGGCAAATCTACAATCAATCAAAATGCCACCAAAAAAAAAATCTCTATTCAAGAGTATACTAATATAAAAGATATACAGGATAAATTACATTTTAAATAATTAAAATAATGCTAAAACCTTTCAAGCATTTTCAATTATTATCTTTTTAACTTTGCACGTGGTGAAAACTACATTATGGTTAAATGAAAACGGTCACAACAACATAAAAAACAATCTCACTGCAAATAATGCAGCTATATGTACATTAATAAAGACTGGAAACGATCAGAAATAATTTAGCATTAAAGTTGCTAGGTGTTTTAAAAAATAACAGCCACCAATTACTGAGCACTTAACCATGGAGGAAACACTGTGCTATGTGGTCAGTTTGGTTAGTTCGTGTAACCATCCTATTAGAGGTTATCTATCATTCCTTATTCAGTTAAGTAAACTAGGTATCAGTTAAGGATGGACAATCTGGTTCCATGTTTTTTGTCTAACTCCATGATCTAAGTTCCTACCCATTATCAACTCTTGATACTGAGAAACCAGCTGTTAGAAACATCACAATACTAAGCTTAAAAAAGAAAATCGGCAATTTAACTGGGTGCATTTGCCAGCTGGCACTTTTTAATCAGGATCATAATATTCTGTACTACCTGCTGTGGTAGACTTTCCAACTCCACCCTTTCCAGAAGCCACAACTATAACTTGTTTGACACCTTCTATCGGTTTCTGCTTTGGAAGTCCTCGGGACATGACTTGTGTTCTTCTTTGTTTTAGAGTCTCACTCTCAGCGCCAGATAACTTTAAAACAAATAAAATAAAACGTTTTAAATAAGCCATCTCAATTATCATGCTGTAAAAGTAAAAACAATTTGGGGTTTGGGGTCAAGAGGGCTTTCTTTTCTAATTCTGTTCATCTCCACTACTTCAGCCTTTACTTGCCGTTCACCTGTCACTGATCATAACTGCAGATACATGGTTTAAACTGCAAATCATCTGACAGGATGTGCTGGTTTTAAAACCTGGCAAGTCAGAAGGTGCCTCTGTAGGGAGTTAGCTCCTCAACGAGTTTTCCTTCTCCGTAACCTACTTACTACAGAACCAAAACCCACTGAGCAACGTGCATCACACACACGCATGCTGCAAAGAAGTCCGGTGCATCGCTGCACCTCGGCCAGTCCACGCGGGAAAGCGAGAAATCCCGCAGCTGAGGTCTCGCGGGGCCTCCAGAGGGCGGACCCCATGAGGAACATTGTGGAACCGGCCCAAGCAACGCGGGGCCCTCCCTCCCACCAGCCTGCTCCGCAGCACCACGGACCTGGCGCCCACAAACCAGCACTCGGCTCCCCCCGAAGGGGACAGCGGCCCCACCACCACGCCACAGCGACACCCCACCAAAGCGCAACAAGCGCCCCCAAAACCCCATGACGCGGCGTGCTTCCTGGAGCCCTGCGGGAAAACTGGCGCGGCGGGCGCGGCGTGATGACGTCACATGGCAACCCGCGGCTTCCTGTCCCTAGCGACCGGCTTCAGGGTTTCTTCAGCCCAGGTGCCGGGTTTGTCTTGGTCCTTGTTGTCGCCAGCTGCAAATATTTTGCAACGTTCTATCAAATATTTGCGAAGCATTTTTATATAGAACCTCTCGTTTTGTGCTTACGGAAGTCCCAGAATAGTCAGAGACTTACTGGCATGCGTTTTGTTTTGTTTTGTTTTGTTTTGCGGTACTGGGGACGTAAGCTAGGCAAGCATGCTGCTACTCACATCCCCAGCCCCCCTCTTGTTATTAATAACAAAACTGAAACTTAAAAAGTTTAAAAAGACTTGATCCGAAGTAACAGAAGTTGAAAATGATGGAATTTGAAAATGGCTTCAGGGTTTCTTACCGCATAGTACTGTATATGGTCACTTAAACACTACCACTGTTAAGGATTTTACCTTTTTTTTTTTTAACTGCATGATCTACAATTATACTCCGTTCTCTGTTAGTCACTGCTTGTCCCTGAAAGAGGTTGGGTGCTTTATTAGATTGAAAAAATGTTAGCTAAATCAGAACAAACAGGGCTAATAAAGCAAGATTTGCTCAGGAAGGAATTTAAGGGCTTGGAATGTAGCTTAATAGTAGAGGACTTGCCTAGCATGTGTGAGGCCCTGCGTTCAAACGCCAGCACTATTTAAAAAAAAAAAAAAAAAAAGGAATTTAAGTGAGTTTGAGAAAGGAAGTATCCCTGTACACAAGGCAGATGAAAGAAATTGCCTTAAGAAAGAGCTCAAAAGTGATTGAGGAAGCCAGGCCAGGCCCAGCAAAAGGATCTCCTGGGGGCATAGTTTACCCTCACGTAATCTCCATAATCATAAGCGTGATTTTAATTTCTTTCATTTGATTCTTATTTGTAGATAACTTGTATCAAAGATACAAAATTAGTTTCTTTTGCTCTAAACTTATTTTTAATTTTCATGTCTTTAATACAGGAAGAACAACCTCAAAGAATTATTGTAATGATTAAATGAGATATTATCAGCAAAGTACATTCCATTTAGGAAACTTTGAAAAAACATTTAGCTCCTTGCTTTTTCTCTCCCACAAGCTTATTGTTTCATCCTGCATTCTTTATCTTACACTAGGCTTGACACTTTTAGCTTGTTTTATATCACTTATTATATTACTTTGTACCATGTTTTCTCAACTAATCTTAAGATTTTTTCCTGCTCAATTTCTATGAATAGAAAGTGAAAAGCATGGCAATAAGGGAAACAGCCATCAATAAACAAGAAATGCTGAATATCTGTTTCTCTCCAGGTAGCTTTGAGAATTCTAGACATCTTAAGAGTCACTCATTTCACAGATATTTACTTAGTAACTACTACATGCCGAGCACCAGACTAATCTCACAGTATTGAGTATTGGACTACATAATCCCTCTACTCAGATTTTACACTCCAGAGCAAAAGAAAGAATAAGTTAACAGAGAATTACAGTTTGATGTAATAAGTTCAGGAGAAAAGTGCTGGGTGCCACAGGAGTACCACAAAAAGTCACTCAGTTCCATCAGGAAATGATTCTGAATAGGATGACAACTGTGCTAAGTCCTGAGCAGGGTAAAGATGTAGGAGTTAGCTGAGAGAACAGCTCCAAGGTTGCTGTGCAGAGGCAAGAAATGGACTGTTAAGAACCACAAATACGGGGATGGAGGCATGGCTCCAATGGTAGAGCCGTGACCTAGCAAGTTCTAGGCCCCAAGTTCAAACCCAAGAACTGAAAAAAATGCAAATATGTACCCCATAAATATGTGCAATTACTACATACATTAAAAATAAAGGCACAAATCAAAAAACTGCAAATTATCTGTGCAATTTGAGGATCAAGTGACTGAAGGAGATGTGGATAGAAGTTGCCTAAAACAGGGAAGGTTTATAAAGGAATTTGGGCTGAGGGAAGTAGAGAAGTGTTTTAAGCAGGAATGAAACATGATCAGATTTGTGTTTTAGAAATATTATGATTACTGGGCTAAAATGGATGGGAGAGTCAAGATCAGAGACAAAAAGACACAAGGTTATTGTTGGAGTCCAAAGGAGAAGTTGAAGGCTTAACATCTTTAAATTTCACCGTCTATTAATAGAATAGATAATACCTACTTATAGATTTGTAGTGAGATTGAGTTTAAGATAATGCATGCAGAATGCTCTCACACAGTACACATAGTCAATAAATGTTAACTATTGTGATGATTATGGGTTGATAAAAGTTTATCACATGGACAAATAGATGAAGAACTGACATTCCCTGAGAGAGAACATAGAAGAGGGACAAATGAAACTAATCTTTACAGAATGAATGAATCATTAATTTGGTTTGCCAGTAGGCCTATTAAAATTTCAGAAGAGCAACAGAGACATTCATTGTTTCTTCTCCGGCAACCACTGCCTCTCCCTTAGCTCCTAAGAAGTGTTAAGTCATTTGACCCCATTTTCATAATCAAAATTCAATTAAAGATTGACTCAAAAGAAAAATTAGACCACATTAGACATGTTATTTCATTTTAATGTACCTGAGGCCTGATAAGGCTGAAATGACTATTTTCTGCGGTATGAAAAGGCAAGCAGAAAAAGTCAGTGCCAGTAAGAAGAAAGGAGATCCTAGGAGATCATATGTCCACAGAGGGAAAGGGGTTGTCTGTACTACTTCCCTAGGATGAGCAACCTAGCAGGTACAAATACTTCCCTTCTAGAAAACAATGCAAGACATTCCCCTAGATATACTTAGGAGATAGTCAAAGGAATCTGGTTTGTTCTGACTAGTATTGATTTCTTTGTAAATTTCTGTCAAGATGGTGAAAACTTAATTTCATTCAATATATGTTCCCTTGGGTAGCTAATTTACAGGGAGTCTATGTAGTATCCAGATGTCCACATGGTGTGGTGAACTTAATCCTGAAGGTCTTCGATTCATGCCAGCATCCATAAAGATGCCACCTACCTAACCACACAGATCATTGTCAAGTGTTCCCTCATTCTTAACTTTGAGGTCTTGTCAGGATCAGCTTTCATTCAGCCATTCCTGTGGCTCACTGAGACCTGCTGTCTAAACATAACAACCAGTTTTAGTCTATAGTCCTCCCGCTACACTGAGCTCCACCAGAGGAACGGAAGCATTGATTCTGTTCCCATAGCCAGCCTCCTGATTTGGGATCCTGTTGCGCTCTCTCTCTACTAGAAATTAATATTGGGAAAATAGAGGAAAAGTGGTAATAAGTAATGGGGTTTCTTCTTTGGAACTGAAACAGTCACAGATTATTTTAGCTCAAATCCCAGAAATCCTAATCAACAGAGGCTTATCTCACACAAGAAGTTATCTTACACAATAAAAGGCCTGGCTGGTATAGCAGCTTAACTGTACCACCAAGAGTTGGTGTTCCTGCCATACTTTCACTCTTAAGCTAACTCTATGCAAAGTTAGCATGTGAGACTGGGGAAGTGAACAGATGGATGTCTAGTCTCTATAGTGAACTATGGCAAGGAAACAGGGATTGAGAGGGCTATCTAAATTCTCACTGTTCTTCCAACTCTCTTTATTCCCCACAATTGAAGGAAATTTTAAATAGTCTTTCTAGGATGGATACTAATTTGGCTAACTCAACACCCACTTCTAGTCACCTTCTCCATTGTTTCCTTGCATGCTATAAAATAGAGACATCTGAATGCTTTATTTACTTCTTAGAGTGGTCATGTGACCTGGTTCTAGCTAATTTGGTGTGTGTGTAGGTGTGTTTTCCCTCACACATCTTCACATGTGGCTTGCTTTCCCAAATAAAAGTAAAAGAACAAGGACCTGAGTTCCAACCCCAAGACTGCCAAAAGTGTGGGTGGGAGGAGTGGAATAAGAGAAATAAAAAGGGGAAAACTCTACTTTTGTTTTTCCCTTCTCTTCCTATATGAAACATAGTCTTGATGCCTGCAGTTGCAGAAGCTATCTTGTGATTGTGAGTGAACACAACTGAGGATACAGGATGATAGAACAAAAAGAATTAACTTGGAATATGGTGACACTGTGGACCCATTGCCTCACTTCTGCAGAGTCTACCTCTGAACTCTTTGTATGAGATGAATATATCCCTATTTAAGACAGTTTTCGACTTTTCTGCTACTTGCAATCAAATGTAATCCTAATTAAAATAAGCAAGAACTCATGCTTTTGTATCATTATTTATGTCTTCCTAACTATTGTCTTTGCCACTGCTGTCATTCTCTTAAAGGACCCTAACTTTCAAAATTCAAAGGAAAGGAAACAATATTTTTTCCTTGACATTTTGCTGTGTAAAAAATTATGCCACAGGCAAGGGATGGTGGCACACACCTCTAATCCCAACTGTATTGGAGGTGGAAATAGGAGGATAGTGGCTCAAGGCCAACCTAGGCAAAAAGTTAGCAAGAGACCAGGTAAAAACAAACTAAAGGCAAAATGACTAGGGGCATGGCTCAATTGGCAGAGCACTGGCCTAGCAAGCACAATGCCCAGAATTCAATCCCTAGTGCCACCAAAAAGAAGGTATATATGTCATTACACCAGATAGACTTCTGAGAATATGCATTAAAATGACCAAAAATCCACCTCCATAATGTGATACAATGAGTTTCTAAATGCCAAAATACAAAGCTGGATAGGTTATTTGACATTTGAATTTATGATTTGTAAGATAAACTGAATCCTTGAACAAAGGTCACAGCCTTGCTTTATAACCAAATATAGTCTTACATATTATGTTAAAAGCTTCCAAGAAGATCCTGTACTGATGCAAAAACCACACAATCAGAACTTGAAAGAAGTATTTGTCACACGGGACCTCAGCATGCCCTGCTCTTGCTCTTTCATTTCATTTTTCTCTAGTACTAAACATGGATCCTCTCAGTCAAGCCCTTCCTACTCTTCATTCTGTCTTAGAGATGAGAGGATGTAAGTTTCTACAAG